TTTTTTTTACACTTAATATTTTTACTTTTTTCATATTTCAAATTTGTTTTTAATATTTTTATATTTCAAATTTATTTTCATATTTCTGAGTTTTTTTTACTTTTAAAATCATGGACTATCAATTTATAAAAAAAAATTAACAATTTAATAGTAAATAAGCTAAAATTAAAACTTTTTTCCTGAACTAAAGTCAAAGAGGACAAAAAAAATGAGTAGATAGACTTTAGATTATTCATTAGTGGTGGCTACAAGAGAGTTTATATGATTAAATTGAATTTATCAACTACTTCTTCGGTCCCGTGTTTTTTATTTATCTTTTTTATTTGGATATTTCAATTCTCTTTTTGAACGCCTTATCTTATTATTTTTTATATTTTGTAATTATTTTTTATAATTGTTACTTTTTGATAAAAATGTTGGTACTTCAAATTTATAATTAAAATTAAAATTTTAATAAAAAAAAACACAAAGATCAAAATTTTTTTTTTTAAGTTTATGAAAATCAAATGGGGACAAGTAAAATAAGACGACGAGTATAGTAGTGCTTTTTATTTAAATTAGATGGACCCTGGCATGGATATATAAAATTGCTTGTGGAGTTTTGAGAATACTCTACCATTTAATTCTTAATGTATAACAACTTTTTAAGCAAATAAATTGTAAAATATAAAATATATATATATATAGAGAGTATAAGTAAGAATTGAATAAAACTTAGAAGTACCTAAAAATAATCACATCTGTCATGATTGTTTGTGTAAAAAATCAAATGAGAAATGTGCGTGCAATTTTCTTATTAAATAATCTTTTCATGCTCATTATGAAGGAAGATTCTCTTGCATTCTTAACATGCTTAAAATTTGAAAGATATATGTATCCATCAGGTGGGACCCCAAAAATAAAAAGTTTTTCATCATTCAAATGATCATGTCATTGCAAATTTTCCAACCCCAAAATTGTTCCTAACAAGAAATTGGAGTCCACTAAAGAAATCAAAATTAAAAAAATAAAAATTAATTAATTAATTGGAAAATGGTAGGTAAACAACCGATCACCCCTGACCAATTTTAATTTTAAGTTTTAACGCCTGTCAATAATTGTTATTTTATGGTTCGGTTGAGTGCATATGCATGGATTGAGATTGATTAAAATACTTTTTAAAAAATTAATTTCATATAATTCAATAAAAATAATAATATTTTAATTATAAAAATTTTTCTTTAAATATTACCTTAAACTGTTATCACTAAACGCTAATTAACGTTTTTAAGAACTAAAACAATCAGGGCGCGTGTCCAAAACGATTGTTACCTTACTGTATTTTTCAAAAAGTTTCAAGACCAAAAAAAAAAAAAAAAAACTCACGGTCTCAAAGCTTTACACGTCTGTTCTTTTTTGCACACATCTGGATTTTGACTCCTTCTTGATGCGATGCCGTAACACGTGTCTTTTGGGCTCCACTCCCCTACGTTTGACCTTATCCGTAGAGTCCTCCCACGTGCATGCCGACCTCATCCATGGGAAAAGAAAAACAAAAAGAAAGAAAGTGACCTATAATCTTGGCTTGGGGTAAAGACGTAATCCTCAATCTCAAGTAACCTTCTAAACAAATCTCAATTAAATTAAATCAATCCCTCATTAATTAATCTTTTCCGTCAACATTATTTGATTTCTTTTTTCTGGATTTTATCAAATAAATGATGAGATGATGATGTTAATCTCATTTTCACTTACCCATCTTAAAGTAATTAAATAAATAAATTTAGTTTTTTTTTTGTTATTGATTTTTAATTCTTAATCTATACTTAAATGTTTTATCCTTATCTTTACCTAGATTTTTGGTTAAAAAAATTATAAGTAAAATCTCATTTGAACTCATAAATTTAAGTGTTAATTTTAATATCATATAAAATGATCTACAGATCAATAAGCTAATTCTTATTAATATTATGATGCTTATGTTTTTGGTGATTTTGGTATATTCTACATACACATACACACAATATATATATATATATATATATGATATGTTAATATTTTGCCTCCACACATAATTTGATATTATATTAATCAAACTATAATTGTAGGATTCTGGATATATTTATAATTATAAACATTAGGTTTTAGTTGTGAAATTAATATATGTTATTTATTTATAGATTAATATTATGAATATTTTTTAAATTATAGTAAAATATTTAATGTGATATTTAAATTTTAAAATTTTTTAATATTTTACCTAAACTTTAAAAATTTTTAATATAATACACAAATTATGAATTTATTTAATTAATGTGGTACTTACATTTAATGTAACTATCTTCAAATTATGACACGTAACGAACTGACAATTCTTCAAGTACTATATTAATTAATAAATTCATAATTCAAATACCTTATTAAAAATTATTTAAATTTAAATACTATGATAAATATTTTATATAATTTAAAAATTATTTATGACATTAGCCCTTATTTACATTAAATATTAGTGAAAACAATGTTTTAGGATATGGTTCAAAGTTGGTCTCCTCTAAGTTTATGACATTGGCCCAACACTAAATTTTTTTTTTGTATATTCACAACGGTGGGAGATGCACGACAGTATATATATAAAGTGATTTAAAAGCAAAAATGTTTTGCACGTTTCATGTGATTAAATTATTAAATGCATATGTTGCGGATGGTATAAAAATTCTTCTTTTCTTCTTTTCTTTTCTTTTTTTAAATTAAGAGCATTTCTTTAACTTTTTGTTAGGAAAAGTTAAAAAAAAAATTAAAGTGCAAAGTGCAAACAATAATTTTTGTGATTGTAAAATGGAGCTTCCTCTTTCTAATATTTGGATAATATCTTTCCAAACAATGAGATATTTTGGTTTCTCTAAGCTTTTTTTTTTTTTTTTAACAATTTCGGTTGACAAGAAGAAAATGAAATCATGTTAATTGGACATTAATTTGACCTATTCTTCTTCTTCAACAGATTTTTTTTTTTTTTTCAAATATGATTTGGATAAGTTTACTTCTTGATATTTTCTTAATCCTTGTGGATATCAACGAAATCAATATCGAAAAGGAAAGAATAAAAAAGCCAACTGAATATTAGTTAAGGTAACATACATGCTAATTAAATTTATTAGGATTACAGGTTTAAAAGGATTTAGGTGAGTATTGTACTTTTCAGGTAACTTGAATAGATAATAATTGAGGATAAATTAAAAATTTTAAAAATTGTTTCAGATTCAAAATATATGTTCAAAATCGATATAAATTCTATTTCTTTTATTTTACATCTTCTCTTGTTCATTTTGTAGTCCAAAAAACACTTAATGTAAATCTATACTAAGCTAGATTAAAAGTATATCCTAAAGATTCTCAATATGACTCCTTTTCAATATTATTAAATTCCATTTTATCCTTATTCATCATTTTTGTTTTTAGTTATTTTACTTTATTTGTTTGTTTTATTTTACTTTATTTTTATTTAATTATTTTTGTGTTTTTTAATTTGCTATTTATTTAAATTTTAAATTAGGATAGTTTTTAATTAGTTAAAAATAATTTTTTTTTAATTTGAAAAAGGTGATAAAATTTTGAAAATAAATAAAAAATCTTCCGATGATGGAATTTTTAATAATCACGGGTGGTGAATTCTTTAAGAAAATTCTATATGAAACTTTTTTTAAATTTTACCCAAATTATGGAAAATTTGGGGAAAAAAAAATCAATAATGATAATTGATATTAATTTTAGAGCCAAAAAGAAAATGTATTAAAATTTTGAAAAAAATAAAAATTATATCAAAGATGATAAATTTTTGAAAATAAATAAAAATTGTTTCAAAGCTAAAATTCATAAAAATCACAAATGATTATTTTTTTAATAAATTTTTGTATGAAATTTTTTTCTAAATATGACCTAAATGATAAAAAATTTTAGAGGAAATAACAATAATGATAGTAACATTTATTTTCAAGCAATAATAAAATAAAAGTAAGAAATTTATAAAAATAATAAAATAAAATTTAGAATTAAAATTTAGACCTTTTAGAAAAATAACAAATCCGACAATAAAATTCTTAAAAATTATGAATGATTAATTTTTTAATAAATTTTTAGGTGAAAATATTTTTAAATGTGATCCATATAATGAAAATTTTAATTAAATAGGGATTGGAGAATCAACACTAGTTAAAAATGAAAGTTAAATCCAGGGAGATGAAAGTGATTAATAATCTAAACTAAGTGCTCGAAATTCAAATAGGCTCAATGTAAAAGATTTGTGGCATGCAACTTTATTTATAGGTGAAATTGATAAAAATGAAAATAAAGTTACCTTTTTAGAGGTAAAATCAGCCAAATGAATTTGAATTTGGAAACACACAAGAAAAGAGAAAACAAAACTTCTTTATAAGAAATTTTGCCATTTTATAATTTTTTATATTAATAAAATCGACTCAATTCCCAAAAAAAAAAAAAAAAAAAAAAAGAACGAATCATTCCATCTAATATCAACGTTACCAATGTATAACATTTAAATATCCATTTTGAAAATGATCAGTTCAGCCTGGGCAGGGTTGAGGGAAGCAGACTACGCATATTTGGCAAATTTAGATCAAATATATGATTACTTCAGCTCCAAAATTTGACCAATTCTCCAAATTTCAACTTCCAAAAATAGACGAAAGAAATTTCGAGCATGGAAAGATAGGTTTTAGCTCTATTCAAACCACACAAACAGACTATCAAAGCTAAATAAGAATGGCTATTTCTAAAAGTTGGATCTCTTGGGATAACTAAAGAATTTATATTTGATGTATAATAATATAATCACATTTCTTAAATAATTAATTTTCAAATCAGTATATAGCATTTATATTCTGACATCAAATATAAATTCGTAACTAAATATCATTTCATTGTAGAGTAATCCAAATGTGAGGGAAAGGATATTCTCAAAAGTTGTTGGCAGTGAGGATGAATTAGAGGGAGCGTGCAAAAGATAATTAGAAATCGCAATAAGATTTTAAAAAGCAAATTACATTCTTAATGAATCTTTGGCTGTAAAGCAAACAAGAGACAGCTTGAAATAAGCTGTTGGTTTCTACATCTTTCATTCGATAATCGAGGGAAAGTAGACATCAAATCCTTGACAACACAACTATGCCTAAAATCCTAAATGTCTCTTTGTTTTTATCCCCCTCTTGAACTTTAGACTAATTTTAACGTTCCTTTTGATTCTTTTTTTTTTCTTTACAATAACAATGATGAGAATAATAATCCATATCAAATCTAGCTACATGCAAATATAAAGTTCAAAAAAAAAAAAAAAAAAGGAAAGGATCCTAAAATTTTCAAATATTATTTTATTATTATTATTATTTTTTTTTTTTTGTAAAAAAATGGGATTACTATAAACCAGTGGATGGAGGATAATGACTAGGATGAGACCACGGCGGCACCGGAAAATCTGACCCACTAGCCTGAGTTTGATTAGACGGCTGCCTGAAAATGCCCATTTGTTGCTGCTCAGCGAATAGCAGAGGAAAAGAAGCAGAGAAAGATGATGAAGAACCGGGAGCTGAAGAAGCTGCAAATGAAGAAGGTAAAGATGACAAAGAAGAAGATAGCAATGGCTGTTGAATATTAGCTAACTGAGAAGATTGAGTCATCTGCTCTAGCAAGGTTGTAGCTTGTTTTCCATGTAAATCAGTAGAACTCTTTAGCAACTGAGAGTACTGCCAATAATCTCTCAGCATATCAGCATTAGAGCTCTGAAGAGATTGGGTTTGGCAATATGATGGCATTGGCGCAGAATGAGATGTTGGAAAATGGGTTGTTTGAGAACTAGTAACTGATGTTTGGATAGCGGGAAAATTCTGCATTGGTTGAGGAACGAGCCTGACATTTTCCGGGAAATTTAACTTGGCCCTGTTTCCCCTGAATCTCAAGGCAGCTTCATCATAGGCTCTTGCTGCCGCTTCTGCTGTATCGAATGTACCAAGCCAAACTCTTGCTGCTTTGTGTGGATCACGTATTTCTGCTGCCCATTTTCCCCATGGCCTTTGCCTAACGCCTCTATATCTCCTTCTCCGCTCGCCGGTTTCTTCATAGGAAGCTGATGGTGCTATTTCTGTTGATGTGGTTGGAGGTGCACTTGTTATTGGTGGTGCAACTACGTTTTTAGTTTCTTCGGTAACTGTTAAAAAAAAATGGAGAGATGGAATATTGACAAAGAAAGCAAATTATTGCTTTGAAGGTAAATGATTGAGAGATTGAATCCTAAATGAAGATGGTAATGCTCAAAACTGATGAACTATTTCATTGGAGCTTTGGATTTTAAAATGTTTTTCTAAACCTGACTATTCGAAACTTAAAAACCAAGTTGAGGCAATATAACTTGTTGAAAGACATGCAATATTACATGGTTTTATTATTATTTTGTGATAGTTTTAAAATAAACTGTTATGTAATTAATATTTTATAAAAAAATGGTATTATAAAATTATTGATAATAAGAAAATAAAAGATCTTTTCTAGATTATGTAATCTTATGTAAGAATATTTAAGCAAAGAAAAAAAGCAATGGAATTCCCTAGATTTTCACTAAAAAAAAAAAAGAGATGATGAAGAAGAAAAGAAGAATGAAAATCAGTTTGCAAAGAATGGTTTGAAAAAAAATGGAGGATAAAATGGTATTGGTGAAAAACATATACCAGTAGTTACACCAGATGATGAATCGGCATGAGAGCCTCTAAGATCAGCAAACGCTCTTTGAACCCTTGGTACAGACTCAATCAATTGAGCAGTAACCTCTCCTTCACGCCCTCTTTTTTGACCAATCCAGAGACCAGAACCAGAACGAGAACCAGAACCAGAACCAGAAGGAGGAGAATAAACAGCAGAAGGAGAAGAGGCTGAGCCAGAATGACCAAAACTAGACGAGACCATGCCAGCTAAGTTAGCACCGTAACCCCAATCAGCAGTCCTTTGCCCTGAGACAACATGTGTCAGGGTAGATACAATTGCAGACATCTCGGTCCCTTGACTCTGGGTTCCAAAAAACATTTCTGCTTGGTTCCTATATTGCATCATCGGCTGGTTCAGTTCTCGAATTTGAGATAAGTGGGATTGTATTTCTTGGGAGTAGCTATCTTCTTGTTGTTCTTCTTCAGTACCGCCATCTCCAACTGGAGGAAACCTGACGTACTCACCTAACCCTCTGTGATGCGCCACCTTGTTGAGTGGGCACATGAAATCCAATGTAAACTTTGGTTTTTTTTTTTTTTTTTTTATTGAAAAAAAATTGTATAATGACTTACCCTGTTAAGGGGATTTGGCCGCAAAAATTGAAGGAGAGCCTTTGTTTTGAAATGAAGGGATGAGGGTTTTATATGTCGATAAGGAAATTTCAAAAGCTGAAGCTTTGATCAGCCGCCATTGTAACAGTACCCTCCTGAAATTTACCAATACATATATCTCACCATCACCAACTTTGGAGATATAAAATTGTACTGTATTTATTTTCTTTATACATGGTTCCTTTTTTTTTGTTTTTTGTTGTTTTATTATCAGAGATGTGATTGCAAAAGAATATGGCAGATAAATGAGATATTCACACCATGAAATTTGACTGATTTAATTAAGTGTTCTAGGAAGAACTAACCGACAGAGAGCCTAAGAAGTCGATTGAGGTTTGCTTTTTTGGGAGGAAAAAGAAAATAAAGTAAAGAAAAAAAAAACAAAGAGTTCATGTTTGAATTGAGTTCTGAATACCGACTTTAAAATGTTAAAGTTCTGAGGGAGTTAGCAACTTGGGCTATGGATTAATCAATGATTGCCCATTATTAGTAAAATGGACTGTATGATTATTCAGCACCAACTGGGTATACTAACCCAAATTGGTTTGAACAGGGTAAGTTAATTAACCTAATCACATGATTTCTTCTGGCTAATTTTATAAGATTCAAGAGGGAAAGATGAAATTAAAATCGAAATTTAATTTGATTAATTCATTTAATCATTTTAAAAGAACATTTAATAATTTTAAATTTTATTATCTATAATCTTTTATTATATTCTTAAATTACAGTCTCTTTTATATTAAAAGGAAAGGAAAAAGATCAAACTGAATTTGGCATTAGGTGTAAAGTTGAAGAGGTTATTATTGAATTTGATTGCAAGTTCTTCCAGGCTGATTAATTAGTTTATGGTTGTACTTTTGATTCCAATTGCCAACTGCATATGTAGTTTCAAACCATGGATTTAAAAACTAAATGAAGCTAGACTGGTAAAATAAAACAAGGTACTATATATTTTTTAATAGTTTTACATTGAAATTTCAGTTAGGTTTTTTTTTTTTTTTTAATTTTTTTATTCACAAAGGAATTTCAGAATATTGAGTTAGTCTAAAAAGAATATAAAAAAGGTAATTAAGAAAGCGGCGGATTTTGAAGTTTGGGTTATTTATTTGCATCAACCAATAGTCATCGTAATTGGATTAAAATTTTACATAAAACTATTAATGTTAATATATAAATAAAAAAGAAATTGCCTTAACAATTTTTCTCTTTTTTTTTTTTTTAATTTTATATGTCTCATGTATATGGTCAAAACACGTTTCTCTTTTTTTTTTTTTTTTTTCTTTTTCCCACAGAACACCGTAGTATATTCTAACAGAAACTCAACACCAGAAAAACAATATAACAATTCAATTTAAGATGCTTCAAATTACTAAGGTCAAAAGGAGATTATTGACAAAATTTTGGACTTATGATTAATTTCAACTTATTCTTTGCCCAATTAGATTAGGGCCGATTCAATTTTTTTCATATAAAATTACAATATAAAAAATTTAATTTATATTACATTTATATTTAAAATTATTAAAATAATTAAATAAATTAAATATTATATTAAATTTATTCGCACATAGTAAAACTTGAAATTTACGTGTAAGATTAGTCTGTATCGAAGGTTAGATTTGTGGGGTGCCAAACAGGGCATTTGGCATGCAAAAGGCTGAGGACAGGTTTTTTTTTTTTTTTTTTTTTTGGGATTCGTTAATGTCAGAAGAATTGGTCAAACTTCTTTAAAATTATATATATACGCACGTGTAGAAATTAAGAAAACATATATTAATATAATTAACTTATTTTAGATGAAAATTATACGTATATATACATCCGAATTAAACAATTAATATAAACATATATATATATATATTCATCCGAATTAAAATTTATGTAATTATTAAACATATATTAATATAATTAACATCATCGTATAAAATAATATAAAAATTTTTATAAAAATATAGATACTAAATTTTATCCAAAATTTTTAGATTAAGTTTTGATTTTGGATTTTGTTTAATTTTATTAAAAATAATTAAATAAAATATTAAATAAAATAATTAATTAATTAATAATTAAAAAAAAACACACAAAAAAACTAAAAAGGGCTAGGGGACCAATGGCAATGACCACCCACCCCTTATAGTCCCTGAAAGCCTGTACCCCTTTGGGTCATTACCTAACCCTAGCAGACACCATACCCTACCAAGCATCTATCCATTGCCAATCGCACTTGACGCCATTACTCTAGCAGTAGGGTCATGACCAAAACTTTATAAATAAATTTATATGAATGCCAAAAGAAGAGGAAAGAAGGAGATTTTACCTAAAAAAAAAAAACCCACAAAAAAATAAAAAAGGTCTCTGTCAAACTAAAAATAAAAAACAAAAAACAAAAACCTCTAGCCTAAAACCAAAAATCAAACACATAACAAAAAACCACATTCCTCTAAAATAGGGACCTAACTCCCGAATTCACAAAAAACAAAATCAACAAAAAAATAAAAAAATAAATTTTTTGGTCAAAAGTTTGAAAAATAGATCTAAGAGATTTGAGATTTTTTTAGGTGAAAATGAGGTTGGATTTGAAAAAAGGAGACTTAGAGAATAGTTTTGGTATTATTTTTTAGATTTTTTTGATAATCGATGCAACGACTGGTGATCACCATCGACGATTAGCACGGTTGTTGACACAATGGCACGACGTAGACTTTGGCTACAGCAGAAAGCTCTAAATTTTTTTTTAGTTAGAAGGTTTAAAAAAAAAAACAAAAGAAGAAATGAAGTAAAAAAAAAATGTGCCTTTTATAATAAACTATGAGGCCAAAATGATGTTGTTTAAGTTTTGAAGGATTCACACGCGACCTGTGATCCGAGTCGGCTACCTGATTATTCCCTTAGCTTAGACCAGTTTGATTGAACCACCCTTTAATCGATCTAATTGAACTGCTTTCAATCCTCAGTCGGTTTAGTTGAACTAATGTTGATCGTATCGTTGACTGATTTAGTTCAAATTTTTTATTTTTATTTTTTGGTTTATTTTTTTTTATTTTTATCATTTTAAGTTTGTTATTATTATTATTATTATTATTATTATTATTATTATTATTATTATTAATGTATGTTTAATATTTGTTGCTTTTTTTATAATAACAATAATAAAAATGAAAAGATAAATCACAATAAATAATGAAAAATAAAGTTTAAATTTTTTATAGTTTTATTAAAAAATTATAATAAACCTTACAAAATAATAATATAATAGAAAATAACTAAAGATAATAATAATAACAATAATAAATGAAAATAATTTTTAAAATTTTGATAATTTTAAATTTGAAAAAAATAAAAAAGAATAATAACTAAAAAATTAATAAAAATAAGAAAAAAATGTAAGAAATGAAATTTTTATTCGATGAAGAGATTGTAAGGTACTCCAACTAGCAATACTTACGAAATCTTTAAGTAAGAAGATTTTTTAAAATACTAACAATGTATTGAAGTATTTATAAAATAAATTTCAATACAATAAAATTTTTTCTATTTTCTATAAAAATAAAATAAAAATTAACTAAAAATTGTTAATAAAAATAAAAATTAACTAAATTAATAATAAAAAATTATGAAAAAGAAATTTTTATCCGATGATAAAATTTTAAAATATTTTGAGTAGTGATGCTTTACAAAATCTCTAGGTGAGAAGATTTTTTAAAATACTATAAATATATTAGAGTATTTATAAAAAAATTTTAATATGATAAAAATTTCTTTTTTCTTCAAATATAAATAAATAAATAAATAATAATAAATAATAATTTTTTTAAAAGAAAAATAAAATGTGTACATCAATATATTGTCATTCGTATCACATACATGGTATTGTTTTTATGAAAAATAAATATGAGCCTTTGAAGATGGAGATTTAAGGTATTCTGAAAAAAAATGTCTAAGAAATATCTAGGTGAAAAAAAGTTCCTTTGATATTACCAACATACTAAAACATTCTAAATTTTTTTTAATTAAATAGTTCTAATTTAATTTTCTCAAATAAATGAAAATAACAATAAATAATAATAAAAAGAATAAAAAATTGAAATTTCGATAAATAAAAGAAATAATTTTTTTAAACACCGAAACTAAGACTTTTTTTTTTTCAAAATTAAAAGATAACACATAATTAATTAATACCGTTTCAAACGAACGTTATAGGGACGCTAAGCTTTCTTTATACGTAATTGACTCTTAGATTCAAATTGTTTCGCAAATCTTAAAATTATTTTTTTAATAAAATTTAATTAATTTTAAAATTTTGTTAAAAAGATATGTTTTAAAAAAAGATTAATTTCATGTAAAAAAAATTAATTGTGACTCTATTTTTTTCTTTTCATTTTTTAAATAACTTAAAAATCATTACGACAATAAATGAAATTTAGGCTTTCTGACAATTTTATTTAATAAACTAAAGTAATATATTGTTTCAACTTTTTTGTCTTACTTAATGATTAAAAAAAAAAAAGAAATTAAAAAGTTACATGACATAGGGAGTTGTCATTAAAAATATAAATACTTTTAGAGTAATATTTTAATTTTGAGCAAAAAATGTTTTATTATTCTTAACGTTAACATTTAGGAAACTACAAAACTCTCCATTCAGAAGTTCCATAATATTGCTAACCGTTTTATATATTATTTGTGAACTTCGTAAATTTCATCCCTTATTAACTACATAGCTATTCTATCACTGTTTTGGACAATACATATAATACCTGACTAGTAATATAATAGCTAGAATTAGAGGGTTTATAGAAAATTTTAGTTCAAAGTTATGTTGTTTTTCGGGTACTACTAGTAATGATAATGAAGACCACGTTGATAATTTTACCCATAACCATCACCATCATTTTTTATTGCAACTTTTGTTGATACATATGATTTTATAAAAAAAAAATATTTTTGGTTTTCAATATAGTAATTTTTTTTCATCGAGATAATAAATTTCAAATTTTTAAAAATTTCAATTAGAATACATTAATGAGACCTTAACTTAATTTGTAGTAAGGAAGAACTTTAAAATTTTGAAGTTAATTTCATATTCAAATCTCACCATATCTGAGTTTAATTTAATTTTATAAATTAAATTTGTTCAATTATATGTTGAATATTTATTGATTGATTTATATATTTAATTTAATTTATCAATTTTTATATAGAATATAATTCTTAATTTTGATTAATTTATATCTATAACCTCATCAAAAAATTAAAGCATATCATTTACAATTTTTTTATTATAATATTATAATAAAAAATTATGTAAATATTAATAACTTTTATATATATAAATATT